ACAACCACAAACACACAACCACAAACACACAACCACAAACACACAACAACAAACACACAACCACAAACACACAACCACAAACACACAACCACAAACACACAACAACAGACACACAACCACAAACACACAACCACAAACACACAACCACAAACACACAACCACAAACACACAACCACAAACACACAACCACAAACACAACCACAACCCCAACACAGCACACAACCACAACCACAACACACAACCACAGCACACAACCCGAGGACCCACAAGCAAAATCGAGAACTACAATACTCACGACCATGGCAACATGCTCCTCACTATGGCATCAAGACAAATGATTGAAATGTTATGGTGGGGATCACTCGAAGTAAAGTAATTATATCAAGTTACAAGGGTTTTTGCGTTTCAAAGCCAAGCCTTCTTTGGTTTGGAGGAGCCGGCGGAGCGATGAAAACCACGCTGCTTGGCTCTGCAATTGGACCTGATCGAGGACGTGCTTTTTTTGAATTTATTTATATATCCACTTGGAGGGGGTATAGATTAAACTATGTAGAAACAGTACCTTCTCAGGTAATGACAAGATGATCCAGCATGGATTTCAGGCAACTATATAACTCCCAAAGCTTACAGTAGTTGTCCATTGCCTCGTGGTGGAAATGTAGACTGGTCAGGGGGATCTAGTCTGGCTGAGGGTCGAACAGGTAGAAGTCACTCACTACCCCAACCCTGTTGGGTGTGGAACAGTATTCAGCAAACTTTTTCGGATGTGGCAACAGCAACCAGACTGGGAAGCTGCATGTCCAAATGATAGCCGCTTGCCATTGAGCGCTCAAGCGAGAGTGATTTGTCAAATATTTTGGGTCTTTGTACTTTGGCATGTTGAGCTTCCGCATTATTGTTCTTGGCATCCACGGTGCCTTGGCTATGCGCACATCTCTCTCCGAGGACGTGCCAGTGGCCATTGAAGGAGTTCTCTCAACACAAGATCTCAAGGTCAATGGAATGAAGACTGGTTGTACCTATACCACACACGGCGTGAAGCTGACTTGCCGGTCTTCAGGGAATCATGGAAGTACTGTGGACAACGCCTTTAACTTTGTGGTGAATTGCACGGATCTCACTGCCTTTGATCATTTCTACATTGAACCAGGGGAGTTCTGCGGTAAGATGGTCTACACCCAGCACCGTTCGAAGAGCTCATTCTCTCTTGGAGGGAGCAGGCTCAAGATCGACAAAGGGACTGTGACCGACTTCACGTGTGTTCTTTTGCCAGTTCCTATGGCAAAGAAGTCCACACATCAAGACTGGAACCGGATCTCCATAACTGTCCCGCTCATCGTCAGCGATTCGGAACGCAGGGATTTGGATGTCGGTTTCGTTGATTTTCGCACGGAGGACGCCTTGAAGGTGGACCCAAGTGAATGTGAGAAGGCGGTGGAAGAGATGTTTGATTGGGATCTACAGTTGAACACGTCCACAAGGGATAAATATGTTCTTGAGTGGACGAGCCAGCCACGGCAAGTCGGGTTCTCCTCCCGCGTGGTGGTGGAGGACTCGAAGACTTTGCCGGTGAAAGCTACAAGTACACTGAAAGATGTGATGTTCAAAGACCTGGCTCCCAGGGTGGTCCACGCCAGCAGCGCAGCTGCCCAAGGCCAGGATTTCGCAGATCGAGTGAAGCTGGTGACCAAGGACAAGGTCCCAAGCAGCAAGAATGAGAAGAATGGCAAAACTCCGGATCCTGAGAAACACCTAGAGGAAGTCGAGCTCCATTTGGATGCCAGCCAGCTTCCCAAGCGCACCAAAGAGATAGAGGTTGCTGTGATGTACGTCATACCGACTGCTGGGACGAAGATCAAGAAGCTCAAGCTCCAAGTTGAGAGTGAGAAGGAAGAGCAGCAGAAGGAGTCCAAGAAGGATTCGGGCTGCTCCACCTTTCGTTTGCCGCTGGGCCTTGGCCTCCTCGTCCTTTACACCTGGCTGGACCTTGGTGCAGTTCCGTAAGTTGGTGGGCGGGAAAAAGACGTGCATGGATTCCGTTTCAGATGATTTCCAGCAGTCCTCACGGTTTTCTTTTTTCCGACAAACCCATAGTGACCAGATCAAACGCCGTCAGAAGATGTCAAAGCCACTGACTGGCGCTTTTTCGCTTGATTCCGTCTCTTGACCCTTCCTCTCGTTCGCATCCGTTCGCACCCAGGCCTCGGCGCCGGAGGAGTTCCGGAGGAGTTCCTGGTTCCGTTCGCCTTCGGCGGCCGAAAAAGGAGCGGCGAGCCCCGCGAGCCCCGCGGCTCGTGGCGCGGCGGGGGAGCGGAACGGACCGGTTGGACCGGTTGGACCGCGATCGGAGCGGCAAGGCACAACGGAGCCCAGTGGCAGGGTCAAAGCAGAAACTGGTGTTTTAAGATGGACTCCCTAACAATCATCAATCCAAAGAAGCCCAATTTCCGCTCTCAAGATTTCAGGCCTGGGATTTCCTTCCGTTTTCTACCTTATTCTTTGGAAAAGTCCATAGGGCAAACAGTTAGGTCATGACTGGCTCATCCTGGCGGTGCCGGAAGACCCTCGGAAGCTGCGAGCGAGAACCTCAGAGAACCAGAGGACCTGACATCAGATGCTGAAGTTTCTGTATAGTTGAAAAGGGTGAGTGTGAGATTTGAACATATTTTAGTTTGGAGGCCATCGCTCGGTTGGAGGCCATAGGCCGCTCTTGCAAGCTCAGCTGCAAGCTGATAAATTGGTTCTGCCTCTGCCTCCCAGGAGCGACGGAGCAGCGATGAGTAGTGAATTGTGATGAGTAGCTTAGAATTAATTATTAATTCTAATAGCAAACATTGTTACTACTAGTAAGGCACCTGTTACTAGTAGCGTGGCACTTACTAGGGATCCACACCTGACTAGTCTTGCAACAGCCATCACTGATGACTTGGCCCGAGGCTACTGTGCAAAGAGACTGTGCAACCTGTTGACACGACGTCGTGGGCCGAGGTCCAGTCTGCCTTGGAAAACCGGGGCGTCAAGAAGAAGCCACAGGCGCAGCAGGCGCAGCAGGCGCAGCAGGGGTTGGGAACGTTTCCAACGTTTAGCAAAGCAGATGCTGGTGAGTGTTTAAGTACGGTAAGACCTTCGTTTGTAAAACTGTCTTTGATCAAGTGAGCCCAAAATACTAGAAACTCAGAGACCAGCCCAGTTGCGGCATCTCAAAAACAGTTTGCCAGTCTGGATTTTTGGATGGATTGATTGAGAGACATGGTCCAACGGTGAGCTATTCAGAATCAAAGTCGTGCTTTTGACGAGTGACCGGCCTGACCCAGATATATAAGTCAAGATTTAAGGCCACATGCGCGCACCAGGTTTGTATCAACATGACACGGTAAGTTGCCTGGCACGGAGTTTGGCAACCTGATTGTACTAGTCACAGTGAATTATGCAGCAAATGCCTGGTGTGAAGAGATTCAAACAGCCAGGCTCAAGGTGGAGATCTTAGCACAGTCCTGCTATGTCCGGCTTGTCAGCACTCTCAACTAGCAGTGTCAAAACCTTTTAAATGAGGAAAGTATGATTTGCAAGGGAGCCTCTACTCACCCCATGCCAGTTGAAGTTTATTTTTTCAGTGTGCCTTTTTAGTACACTTTTGTTTGAAACATTTCACGTTTTGCAACATGTCACCTCAGGAGGCAAGCAAATCGTAGATTTGCTTGCCATGGGCCATGGTATGAAACATTATGAAATGTGTTTTTGGATTCTTATGCTTCCTGGTACCTCATGCCCTTTGCCCATACCTCTTGCTGAGTGGCCTCCTTGGCGACATCGGGAAGGAAGCCCCCGTTCCGTGGATGAATGGCTCGAATCCATTGACATCGATGGTACCGCAGCTCCAGACTTGATGACGGTTACCATACCAGATCAGTTTGCACTTGCGCATCGGCGCATCGGTCTTGATTTCTTTCCGCACTCATCACTCATCACTCAACTCTCACATCTCATCCATTCGACCTCCAGACCCTTCAATCCGCAACACATCTGAGAAACGGACAGACGCCACCGAGCCGACCAGCGGCCATGGCCACGTGCCGTTTGGTGGCCGTTGCTGCCCTGGTCATCGCAATTTGCTGGACCAGCGGAGCAACTCGGAGGAGGGTGTTGGTGAGGGAATTGGTGAGGTAGGTGTTGGTGAGTCGGTGAAGGATTCTGTTTCCTCATGAGTTTCGTGAGCTTCCTTGGCTTCTCAGTATCTATGAAGCACCCCGTGAAGCTGCTTCAATTTTCATGGCAGAGAGCAGCAGTGTGCCAGGCGAGTGCAATCCGATGCGAATCGCTTGAAACCAGGAAGCAACGCTGTATGATTCAACCTTCCCTAAGAATCTGAGCCCTCAAACACATAGGGTTTTGAGGGGCCCGGACCCCTGCCATGGACGGTCGAAGGATTCTTAGATATTCTTAGGGTTGGCTGTAACTCGCCACGAGGCCTCGAGGAGGGCCTTTTTCTCGCCTCCGAGGTCTTTACCACCAAGCTCTTGACGCAGAACTGCGGCTACCGGAAGCCATATTTGTTGACGTACCTTCATGAGCTTGGTGCCACAGCCATCTCAGTGTCAGAGCTCAAATTAGCTGGAAACAGTGCTGGAAACTTCCTCAGGGTGTGCGTCGAAAAAAGAGGAAAGATGAGAAAAGCAAACGGCGGATTTTTGGTACGACCTGTTGTCAATAGGGTTTAGGCGTTCGGAACGGCATGTCCGGCCTGGCGAATGACTGGTCGATGGGCGTTCGAAAGACATGATCTGATCCAACGGGTCTTTTGGGTGGTCCTCGAACCGCCATGAGTGATGAAAGCCTGTCCATCGTTGACCTTGCTCCTGCCAGTTGGGTAGCGCCTACAGTTTCGTAATGTTTCGTGTTAGCCTAATGTTTCACTCATGCACGCTGTGTGATCAGAGGTTCCAGTCCAGCATGGTTTAGGGTGCTTCCAAACACTTTTTAAATGTGTGTGTTTTTGATTGTTTGTTTAAGTCATACTGTATGTAGAGTTGGTGTATTGTGGGCATTCCATATTTAGGCTAGTATGTGTAGTCACCGGTCCTTTCTAACAGCAGTCTGTGACAGGTCCCTTTTGCTTGCAGTCAACAGCTGTGGCCACGCTGCAAAATCTTTGGCCTTCGAGCAATGGGCTTGGGTTTGCTGGCTTTCGGAGCGGGTTCAATGTCTTGGAGATCACAAACCATTGCATAGCTTGTCGACAAGCTGTGGTTTGAACGACTTGTTGTACTGCTTTACATGGCTTTACAGTATTTAGAATGGTTTTTGGGGGGGCCGTTACGTCAATACACGGCGGCTAGTACGGCGGCTTGCTTGTAGTAGGGCATGACTGAAAGTGTGGCTGGCTTCTCAGCCACAGCATCCTTGAACATCATACATGTGCCTCGCCTCACCTTGAAATGCAAATCATCACTCCAACATCAACATGGAAAACAGAAGTGCCTGAAGTATTCCTGTCACTGGGGAGAGATGACACCATTTTCCAACGGTTCAACGACAGGAGCCAACATCTCCTTCATGGTCGCGCTGGTCTTGACGACTGCGAGTTCGGCCATGACACTGGAGCAGCTGACACCTGTCTTCATCGCAGGCGCCAGTCCAGCAAGACCATGTGAGTCCGTTGCATATTTGTGAGGCGCTTTCCAGCATCCGGTCACTGATTCAATTGGACAAGTTAAATTGAGAACCAGTGCTTTGTGGGTGAGGAGATTTAAATCTTTGAAGCGGATTGATTATGGACTCCCTGAAAAGCTTCCAAGTTCAAAGCGGGTTCAGTTTGGAGCGTGGCCTGGTAGCTTGGGAGACCAGTGTTGGCATCAATGGCCTGTTTCAAGTGACTAAATTTACACTAAATGAATGATAGGAAGCTCGTCATCATTGGGCTTTCGTCTCGAATGGGAGTTGCCAGTTTTTTTAGGTGGAAGAGATCAATGATCTCAAGAAGAACTACAGAGATGTAGAGAACATGCTAGCTGCTATAACATGTGTATGTCAACACCTAAATGATGGATTGATCGACCAATGAACGTGTTTGGAACTGCCACTGCCGCCAGGATTTTCTTGCATTTTCCTAAAGGAGAGATATCAGGCAGGACTGGCTGTCCAAATTCTCATGACAAAAAAACATGACCGGGCAATGGATGCTAAGCTTTTGCCCAAGTCTACTTTTCATCGCCTAGTTACCTTCCATCAGATTCTGCAGGTTGCACTGCCTGAAATAATCATGGAAGCTATTAAATTTAAATGAATTCTAGTAGCTTCTTTGTTACTACTAGTAAGGCACCTGTTACTACTAGAGGTGGTGAACTCCACGCTTCGGTGATGATTTCGAACGTTTTTTGGGAACGCGCACTTTCCCCACCTCGGAATCCGAAAACGGGTCACGGAATGCCCGTTTGGCCTGAGCGAAGATCTTTGGAAAACGCTATCAAGATGTTGACCAACACGAAAGCAAGGAGACACAAAACATGTTTTGGGGTGTTGAAATATGTTGAAACGTTCTACAGTTTCAGATTTTCCAGCTAGCTGAGAATGAGCCTTTGTCCAGCTGAAACTAGGTGTCCTGAATTGCAAGGTGCTGCTACCGGGAGAGAATTCAGGGACAATTGAATCTTGCAAGTGCCACTAACACGTACGGTCAACAGTACAACAAAGGAAGATAGGTTTCGTTCATGCTTTTCTTTGGTGGTTTCTAATGCTGTTCTCCCATAGGCATGTCAGATCTTTTGGCTTGCGGTGGCCATCATGGGCTCGGTCATCGTTGCCCGCAGTGACCTCAAGGCTTGTCACGGTGAAGGTTGTAGCGGTTCAATGCCCCTGCTGGGAGATGGTCTGGTGGTGGTTTGCTGTGTCACAGCAGCTTTGTACATGGTCCTCTTCAAGATGTGGTTCGCCAGAAATTGCACTAGCCCTCAGCTGCTCTTCACCTACTTCATCATGAAGGGGATGAGTGTCTCCGTGCTGGGTGGCATCATACTGCTCTTTCTCTCGGAGTCTCATCGTGGTTTGCCGACCGATACCTGTGGCTGGGGATATTTGAGCATCAACATGATTGCCAACATGTGCTTCAATCTCTCCTTGGCCTGGGGCATTTTGCTAGTTTCTCCCCTAGCATGTCGCTTCTTGGTGAGCACAGAGCATTGGTTTTCGTACAGTTACATACATATATTATATATATATATATTAATACTATACATAATGTGTATAATACTGTATAGATATTATATCTATTCTCCTGCACATGGGTTTTCAAAGGAGCTGTGACTCAGATTCAATTAACATCAATAACGCAAACCATTGCATATCCTACTTCCCTTCGGAGTTAACCTGGTTCATACTGTAAGTGGATTCAAGTATTCAGATCCTTTTGGGATTCCAGCACTTCTAAGTTTTGTGAAAACAGAAGACATGTCTGGAGGATTATTCGTACTCTTGGGTCTTCCAGTCTCGCTATTGCTGGACTCCGTGCTGGGCGTCTCCATCAGTCTGTGGCGGGTGCTGGGCGTGGCGGTCGTCGCCTGCGGTGTGGCTGGCTTTGAATGGGCCGGAACGGTGCGCAGCCGAGCAGGGGCGGACCATGGGGCTCCGGTGGAGGCAGAGGAGCTCAGCAGCATTTGTGAGGATTCGAGTAGTGGCCAGGTGGGGTCATTGAAAACGGGGCGACTGCTTGTCAGTTTTGCTGGCATTGTGACATTGTATTGAATTGTTCTTTTGTCGTCCATTCATTCGTCCCGAAGTCTGATGGTGCAAGTCGGATGAAACTGTGATACTCTCGGTATGGGGCAGGTGTTCAACTTCCCAAGCACTTGGACCTCCCGAGAATTTCGACATGGTGGATCGGCAAAAAATAGGTTATGGACCGGACAATAATTCAACAATGACTTAGAGGTTTTGTAGTTAACATGGTGGCTGAAACAGCCCCAGAATCTTGGGCAAGATGCAGGTTTTGTCAGGATGTATATATCCTTTAGCACTCCATTTTCAGTTGAAGCAGTGCTGAATCAAAGATCCAAAATAAGCTCACTTCTCGACACTTCCGCCACTCACAGTGGCGTCGACGTGTGCAGTCTTCCTGCAGCTCGAGTCGGCCGAAACTCTCCTCGAAGCTCTCCTCCACACTTTGCGGCTTGGTGGCCGTCGCGGTGTGTGCTGCTGGCTTCGCCATCTCCAGCACTCACCACTCGGAGCTGCGCTGATGCAGCCGGAAAGGAGAGCTCGAACTCGGTCGGAGTGGAGCGAGGAGTCAAGGACCATCCTTTTCACACATGTTTCGATTGTGTGCACCAAGTGGAAGCTGGGGCTTCGATTTTCTCACACTTCTGGAAAGTCCCTGAGCAAGAGCCACTTCCAAAAGGGGCCTGGTCCGAGTTTGTCTCACCAAGTTGCTCGTTGCTCGTCGATCTGAAAGAAAAGAAGCTCCAAGATCGCCTTCCAGGGGACCGGGATCATTGTCATTGACCCGACAAGAAATGCCGCGCCGAGGTGAGGATGAGACGTGGGAATCCCAGCTTGGCCCGGGCAGTTGTTTTGGGATCCTGATGGATGTAGCGGTCATGAAAGGTCATGAAGTTGTTGTTGAACATGACCGTCTACAGTGGACAACAATTCCACCGAGCTGGGGCATGCTCATGGAATATCATGGAACACAGGGATCCTTCAAAGACCTTAAAGGTCATTGCTCGTTCCAGGAGCAAGGATGCACCTTGCATGCTGCTCAGACCTTGCCATTTGATCCGAAGGCGAGTTTTCTCGCGTACTCCACGGCGGGTCGTGAGGTTGGAGTTGATTGTGTCACCTTGAGCCTTGAATAAGTCAACACTGCACCGAGCAATGCATGGCAAGGAACAATGATTGAAGATGATGTGGTTTCAAGCTCCCAGCACTCCCAGGCACACTTTTGATCCCTGAGAATCCCTGAAAATCCTCATGGCCAAATGGCACAGAACCCTTCGGATCGGTACCTACGACAGCACAGCGGATCGGCATCCTATGCCCACTTGAGAACCTGTGCTTTTTTTGTGTGTTTTTTTCCGTCACGGGTTCTTCTCATACATTGAAGCATTGTTTGTGATTTGGGCATGTTGCACGCTCTTGAACACATGCCCATGTTAATTGTGAACAAGCTTCTGAACTTTCTTCACCACTTGCCAACATGGCAAAAAGCATCAAAAAACATATTATGATTGTCTTTGTTATACAATTGTGTCTATTTGTCATGTAATTTTAAACTTGTATATATACATATCTACACATGCTTGATACATAATATACTTTTTACTCTATGCACAGTTTGCTTCATTTGATGGAACCTGCCGAACCTGCTACCATGGGAGGCTGTTGCCATTTGACGATCCCTTGCTGGAGTTTCAGAAGGCCAAGCAGGCGCCTTTCGTTAATGCCGCGATGCCAAGTCTCAGTCCAAGTCTCTATGTCCATACGCTAGTAGGTTGGAGGCCATTGCTAGCACCAAGTTTCACTCACTCTTCATAGTCGAAGTCTCAGTTACAGTCCAGGGATTTCACTCGAAGGTGGTCAGTGGTCCTTTGAGTTGCAGGAGATGTGCAGGATTTGGTCCCAACAGTGCGGCCTGAAGAAGGTTCACAGGCCAGGCAGAACTTCCCCAGATCAGGCGGCCGCCAGCGCAGCTTGGCTACCCAATCCAGAGGCCGGGCCTGCTTCTGCGATGTGTCAATGAGCACCTTTGAACGATCAAGGAGATACTATAGATGAAGGCTGGCATGTGAAATGTTATGTGGCAACGCAGAGTCGAGTCTTGTCCGGAACTCCTTTTCTCATATTCAATGAAAGCTGGTGGTTTCCTTGTGTTTCCTCCCTGAACCAAATTCAGTGTCACTCACGGTCATGCGCTGTCCCGGCACACCCCATGTTGGACCATGAGATATTCCTCCCCCATCCGGGGGCCCCTTTCCAGGTGGAGCTCCATCAAATCCCTCGGGGCGTTTTGCTGCTTGGCCGAGTGGACGCAGTGGAAGGCCGGAAAAAGCGAAGCGCATTGCACAGCCGATCGCACCGAGTCCCAAAACGACCCATTGATGCACAGCTTGGACCTGTGGACGACCATCATTGCTAGGTTGGAGGCCATCGCTTCTAGGCTGGAGGCCATCACTCTTAGGTTGGAGGCCATCGCTCTTAGGTTGGAGGCCATCGCTCTTGGGTTGGAGGCCAACGCTTCTAGGCTGGAGGCCATCACTCTTAGGTTGGAGGCCATC